GGGTCTCTCCCTAAGCCAATGACAGTGTCCAGAGGGATGCAGTGCTTTGACTGGCCACGAGAGGTCACATGGCCACTGAAAGCTGCGATGGACATACCATTTAAATTGCATGGATTTAAAATAAATGAGGGACTTCCCTGGTGGCGCAATGGTTAAGAATCTGCCTGCCAATGCAGGGCACACGGGTTCGATCCCTGGTCCAGGAAGATCCCACATGCCGCGGAGCCACTAAGCCCGTGTGCCACAACTACTGAGCCTGCGCTCTAGAGCCTGTGAGCCACAACTACTGAACCTGCGTGCCACAACTACTGAAGCCTGTGTGCCTAGAGCCCATGCTCCGCAACGAGAAGCCACCACAATGAGAAGCTTGCGCACCACAACAAAGAGTAGCCCCTGCTCACTGTGACTAGAGAAAGCCCGCACACAGCAACGAAGACCCAACACAGCCAAAAATAAAGAAATTAAATAAATAAATTTGTAAAATAAATTAAATGAGCCACGGGTATGAAATACACACTGTGGGAATGCAGTCAATAACTATGTATAATATCTTTGTGTGGTGACAGATCATGACTAGACTGATCTTGGTGATCACTTTGAAATGTATAGACATATCAAATCACTAGGCTGTGTACCAGGAACTAACATAGTGTTGTCGGTCAATTAGACTTCACAACCAACCAAACAAACAAACAAAAGAGATCAGATTTGTGGTTATCAGAGGCGAGAGGTGAGGGGAGGCGGAACTGGATGAAGACAACCATAGGTACAAACCCTTAGTTATAAGATAAACAGGTACTAGGGATGTAATGTACAACATGATAGACAGAAGTAACCCTGCTGTGCGTTATACATGAAAGTTAAGAGAGTAAATCCTAAGAGTTCTCATCACAAGAAAAAACACTTCTTTCTGTTTCTTTAATTATGTATCTATAGGAAGCGATGGATGTTCACTAAACGTATTGTGATAATCATTTCACGATGTATGTAAGTCAAATCATTATGCTGCACACTTAAACTTACAGTGTTGTATGTCAATTATATCCTAATAAAACTGGAAGAAAAACATAAAATAATTAAAAAAAAGAATTTTGAAAAAGACAGAATTTGCACAAATTTATTGCAAAGACGTGGAGCAATATTCTAGAGAAAACCAGGTTATTGTTATCAGAAAAAGGGTAGATGAAAGCTGGAGAGACAAAGCCTACACGTCCATGACAGGAATCGGCTGTGCTTCCTAAAAGCTGTACAACCGAGAAGAAACGCACAACGGATGATATACCCCATTCATAATAAATAACCAACAAATAGACTTTCCGGAATATAAAATGACATGCAGAATGTTGCAAACTGGAAGCTGATAAAAGTTTAAGTAATAGAACTCCCCAGGGGTAATTGTGGTTTCTGAGATCTTTCTGTTCTGTAGGCTCTCCTGCATAGTTTCCTTAGCACTTTCCTGGGGACATGATGGAGAGGGTCCTCAATAAATGATAAACCAGATGGAACGGCATATGGTTTCAGTGATAAGGAATAGCAACGTGGGGCAGACGCATCACAGAAGACTTCATGGAGGAAGCACATTTTCCACAGGACCTTAAAAAGTAGGAACAACTTGGACGGGTCAGAGCAAGTTGGTCAATGGTCTTCTTGGCCGAACTTCCCGATCATGGTTCAATAAATGCTTGTTTGAGGAAATAATAATAAAGTTAAGTAAACCACCCTCTGCTTAAACTCTTGCAGTGATTATCTGACATCTACAGGACTAAAACCCCAGGACCCGGCTTCCGTGGCTCCCCTGCATCTGAGTTAGACTCCCTCTCCAACTACATGTCTTCACATATCAGGTTGTGATGTTTGACTAGTGAAATGAGACCCAGTTTCCTTATTTTTCAAATGAGGATCCTGCCTGTCTCTAGAAGTCAAAACCATCACTGCGCCTGGCACGTAGTAAACGCTTCAGAGAAGGGAGTTATTTTTATCATTATCATGAACAATCATCCTCCCACATTCAAGCCATGCTGAGCTCCAGTAGTTTTCCAAACATCCCACGATCACTCACGCCTCTGTCCACTATCTTAGTTTGGAGTCTCTTTTTAAAAAACAATTAATTAATTAATTAAATAATTTTTGGCTGCGTTGGGTCTTTGTTGCTGTGTGCGGGCTTTCTCTAGTTGCGGCGAGCGGGGGCTACTATTCATTGGGGTGCGCGGGCTTCTCATTGCAGTGGCTTCTCTTGTTGTGGTGCACGGGCTCTAGAGCACAGGCTCAGTAGTTGTGGCACATGGGCTTAGTTGCTCAGCGGCATGTGGGATCTTCCCGGACTAGGGCTCGAACCCATGTCCCCTGCATTGGCAGGCAGATTCTTAACCACTGTGCCACCAGGGAAGTCCCAGTTTGGAGTCTTTTGAAAGCAGAGCCTGAGACCATTAGCTGTAGGCAGGAAAGTGGTTCATGGCAGCAGATGTGAGGAAGGTAAGGAAGACAAAAAGAGGAAGGAGGGAACAACAACAAAAGGTGTGTTGTTGATTTGGTTGCCCCTGGAGCACGTGGGACTCAGCCCTGCTGGGGGCTTCTGAGCAACTGTGTGGAAGGCACAGGCGTTCAGAAGGATGGAGGCAGCCGCTGCTCTATGGGTGTAGGGCTGCCCCTGGGGATGCTCACTCCCCAGAAGACTGAGAAAGCTCTCCCAGCTTTGGAAACATCCCTGAGACAGATAAGCTGAGAGGCTCACCAGGCTCTAGGGTGGGACACCGTCAGAGCATGTGCAACAACTTTCTACTTGTTACAGCTGAAATCACAGGGGGCCAAGGTAACAGGGCCACACAGCACCAAGACCACCTCTGACCACCTTCCTTCACGCTGGTTCCTCTGCCTGCCATGTCCTTTCATTTCTTTTTTCAATCTAGCCAACTGGATATATATTCATCCTTCAGGTCTTAATTGAAATATTTCCCCTGAGAACGCTTTCATGATTCAGTTATACATTTCCCCTTCAGCGCTCCTTGTTCATTACTGCACTGTTCATTCCTTCATTCCACAAACACCTGCTGAGTACCTACTACACAGGCCTGGCATTGTTGTAAGCGACGGGGATACAGTAGCGAATGAAGGGGACCAAGGTAGCACTGCCCTCATGGAGGTTACATCCCGGTGAGACAGTGTGACAATAAATAAAATGAAAATTTTGAATATATAATACAGTTGAAGACAAATAAATATATGATGTACAATTATATAGACTAGACTATAAATAGATGACATATATGAATAAATATGATGGATAAAGGGGAAGCAGGGATGGAGAAAGGCAGGGCTGTGTGAAAACTTTACAAACTTTGTTCAGGGAAGGCTTTGGCAGGAAGGTAAAGGAGGGAGTGGGCTGGGCAGCCATCGAGGCGAAGAGAGTTAGCAGATGGGGGAGGAGAAAGGGTTTCTGAACTGTAAGAGGAACAGCGAAGTCTCGCGGCTGGAACAGAGGTAGCGAGAGGGAACTTGGCAAGAGGTCGGACTTGAGGCAGGCGTGGCCAGTTGAGCTGTACTTGCCCTGTCCTCGTGAACACTCTGACTTTTCCTTTGAGATGGGAGGGAGCCAGTGGATGGTTCTGAGCTGAGGAATGACATCACCAGGCTTGCACTTGGGTCATCCCGGCTGCTGCATGCGGCCAAGGTGGTCCCTGGGAAACCAACGAGGAGGTCACCGCTTTGACCCAGGAGGGTTACGGCGGCTTGGAGTGGGGTGGTGGCAGGACACCATGGGGAAGGGTTGGCTCCTGACTCCTCGGTGTGTTCAGATAGCACTGCCAGCAGCATTTGCTGAAGGACTGGATGCGGGAGAGAGAGAGAACGGGAAGTCCAGGATGTGCCATGATGCTGCTCTGAGCCACTCGGAGGATGGATGTGCCATGTACTGATGTGAAGGGGCTTCTGGAGTAAGTGGGCGGCGGCGTGCCATGTAACGTGCCACAGGGCTCCGTTGTCTTCTCCCATCTCTGCCTTCTCTCCAAGCAACTAAGGACAGGGATGTGCCTCTAACTTGTGGTCCTAACATCCGAAATGGGACCCAGTGCTTAGCGGCGATTCAAAGCTGCGTTTGTCCACGGCCCTCTCGTGGGTGGAAACGCGCCCTGGGGTTCTCATGGGGGCACAGAGGTCCTGCGGTCCCTGCGCAGAACAGGCAGGAAGGCTAGTGGGCTCTGCCTAGTGCCGGGACCACAAGGCTGGGAGTCCCCCTCCCCGAACCGCACCCCTCACCAGCCTGGGGCGCTTGCTGGCATCTCACAGCATCAGAGGAGGTGCCGGGATGCCTTCGTCTCCACAGTGGGTGGTGGCAGCGTGACAAACCCCTCGCCCCTGCCGACTGGCATCGTGCTACAAGCTGCCTGGCAGAGCAAACTCAGTCCCCCGCCTGGCGCATCCCCCAGAGGGCCTTTGTTTTAGACCACTTCTGCGTTCAGAGGAAAGGAAAGAGTCTTCGGCACTTACATGAGGCCCGGCAGGAGCTGGTCACCTCATCCCTAAGTCAAGGAGAATTCTGCGCGTTGGCCAGGGAAGCGGAGAACGGTTGTGAATCAAAGCTGGGGGTAACTGTATACTTTATACCCACACTGACGTTCCACAAATGCTTTGTGCACTGAAATCACCTCGGAGTGTGGCTGCATACGTGTTCGCCTAGCTTCCCTCCCCTTCCCAGCCGGGCGGTCGGGGGACCGGAACCTCACTTAGGATGCTGGTCCCTCACCCTCGCAACCTCCCCAGGAGGTGGGGAAGAGGCCACAAGCACTTGGAAACGCGGAAGGTCAGAGCATCACAGACCAAGATTCCTCCCCAGACCAATTCTCATCCTGTTCTATTCCTGGTTAGGGAATGGAAGCGGCAGGATAACCAGAGCGGGATCGGGGGTCCCAGCGGGTCCCGGAGGGCCCCGTGGTCCCAGCGGGTCAACGAACACTGATGCCGACACGACAGCGGATTTCTGCGGGGGCCGGGAGGTGTCGACTTGCCTTAATGACGTCTTCATCGGAAGATCGGCACTCCACAGACTTGAGATCGGTCACGGCGCCGTCCTCCTCCACGGAGACCACCTTCACCGGCACGGCCACCGTCTTCCCAGTGAGGACGGCTGTGTTCAGGATCTCCGCCTCCTGGAAGACCAAACACATCCTACGGTCACAACCCTGCACGCACGCATGCAGACCGCCTTCCCCAGCCTCCCTACAAAGAGCCCCACCCCTACTCAGGCTCAGAAAGCGCGGCACTGGGCACCGGCCAAGGGGTCACGGCGGCCAGGAGAGAACGTTCCGCCATCACCCAGACTTGTGCAGGGAGAGTATGATGGAGAAGGGGTATCATATGTGGGGGCGACGGAGCAATATTGTGCTTGACAAACCTCACCATGTGCCAGGAACTGCCCTAAGCACTATATAAATATGGACCTATGAATTCTCACAGCATCCCAACGCGCATTCGTATTCGCTCCATTTTGTGGATGGCACAGAGAGCTTTTGTCATTTGCCCAAGGTCACACAGCTAGGAAGCAGTGAAGGTGGGATTTGAACCCAGGATGTTCAGCTTCTGAGTCCATGTGTTTGCCATTCCAACTGGTATAAATCCACACAAAATGATCCCAATGTAAGCAGTCAACTGTTGACCAGAGGAGCAAGGTGCCTAGGTTAGTAATGACGCAGGGGGCAGGCAGAGGCTGTGAGAGACCCTCACTCCGTAGGCTGTCGCTCAGGCTTCTTTCACTTACTGTCAATTTTCACATCCTGGCCTCTGTGCTTGTGTGGAATGCTGTGATGGCCCCAGTGACACTCCCAGAGCCCCATCAGTGTGACACACGCACGCACAACACACACACGCACCCCCCCCCACACACACACCCAAGCATGCATTTTTTCCTACTAAACACTCCCTCCAGAGCTCAGCTCAACACACGTGTGTCCTCTGGGACACCTCCCGCTTGCGCCTGTTATCTGCCTGCAGAGGCCGAGGACGTGAGAGCCCCTCAGAGCCCAGGAAAGAAAGGCAGGGCCTCTCCTCCAGGCACCCGACGCAGCTGCCGTTTTACTGTTACTTATAGTCATTCAATCCTTTCACCCTCTCCTAGACGGTAAGCTCTGCAGAGGCTGCATTTGCTTTCTGCTCACCAGAACCTCGCCCAGAGCCCGCGGAAGGCATGGAGAAGGGCCCAACAGGGAAGGAACTGGAATCCATACCAGCATGAGCATCTCCTTGCTGTGCATCTCAGTCCTCTGTGCATGAGTACCTTCTTTTTATCATTTTAATTTTTACTGAAGTGTAGTTGATTTACAATGTTGTGTTGGTTTCAGGTGTGCAGCACAGTGATTCACTTACATATATACATATATTTATTCTTTTTCAGATTCTTTCCTATTATCAGTTATTACAAGATATTAGAGTTCCCTGTGCTATACAGTAGGTCCTTGTTTATCTCTTTTACATATAGTCGTGTGTATCTGTTAATCCCAAACTCCTAATTTATCCCTCCCGCGCCTTCCCTTTTGGTAGCCATAATTTGTTTTCTATGTCTGTGATTCTACTTCTGTTTTGGAAAGAAGTTCATTTGTATCATTTTTTTAGATTCCACATATAAGTGATATCATATGATTATCTGTCTGCTTGAGTCCCTTCTTCTTGGCACTTTTCCCGGAATAAGTAATAATCCTTACTCTGCACTTCTCTCCCCAGTGCGCCCATGCCTCCTCTGGCTACTCTTATACTGTTGTGGCTTGTGAACTGGCACAGTCCTGGGAGATCATATGAGCCCATTTCTCAGATGGAGAACACTGAGCCCCAGGAATCTCATTCTTCTCTGCAGGGATTGTCACTTCTAATCACATGAAAAGCGAAGTCCCTGGGCTTCCCTGTTGGCGCAGTGGTTGAGAGCCTGCCTGCCGATGCAGGGAACGCGGGTTCGTGCCCCGGTCCGGGAAGATCCCACATGCCGTGGAGCGGCTGGGCCCGTGGGCCATGGCCGCTGAGCCTGCGTGTCCGGAGCCTGTGCCCCGCAACGGGAGAGGCCACAACAGTGAGAGGCCCGTGTACCGCAAAAAAAAAAAAAAAAAAAAAAAAAATCAAAGTCCCTGTGTAACCTGAAATCTCTGTATAACAAGACTTCCGAGTTCTAGCCCATGGCATTCTCAGTTTAACCCCCGTTCATCACACGTCCATCGTGTCCTAAGAGGTTCTATGTCAGCACGCACACAGAGTTTCTTCTGTCAGTCTGAACTTGACTGACCTAGCCTTGGAACAGCAACAAGAAAACATCTGGACAGGCATTAGGAGCTGTTTAGGGAGGCTTTTGCATCTCTTAGAGACAGGCTTGCGGAGATTCTGGTTAATTTGGTTTTCATGTGAAATCACAAACGCCTGTTTAGCCTCACGCCAGAAGAAGGCATAGAAGTTTATCATCTCAAAATTACATAACCGTTTTCCTTATGTCAACTTTCCATTTCTTATATAAGATCTTACTTTTACTTTACAGGACTTGGTTCATTTTATATTTAGCTACTTTGGTTTAGCCTTTGGAAATGATAATATATATATACACATACATGTATATAAATATATATTTTGTTCCTTTATTTTAATCCTAAAAGACAAGACTACAGTGTGTAATGTTCCTGAATTTCAAAGACCATGCCTCAAACTGTCTGAATATGCACAGACCTCCAAATGCCCCATTGCTTATGCACCTTTTTTTTCCCCTCCCCTGTGGGTTCCCAGCCAGATTTTGTTTTATTTTGGGTACAAACATAGTAAAAGAATAAAGGAGCCCAGTCAGAATGTGGTGCTACTTTCTGTTGCCTCTGGGAAGGAAAAAGGCCGGGCGTATTTTTTCTACTCTAAAGGGCAGAGATCAAAAGGAACTATTCTTACTTTGGGAAGAAGTGGAAAAAAAGCATTTTAACTCTCGGGCCCAAACTGGCCCACTCTTCACAGGGAGAAAACAGACTAGAGGAGCAGCATTAGGACACCAGTATCAAAGAAAACAATTTTGCACATCAGTGGTGGAGGAGTAAAGAGCGCGTCTGCTCCAACTCAAAAGGCCTTTAATGCATTTGCAGTCAGGTCAGCAACATGAGAAATGACCCTGGGGTAACCAATGAGCAGCTGTGAGGCCACACATCTGGGGTGTTTTCTTATCCTCTAAACAGAAAGCATCACTCTGCCTGCAGGATCTCGGTGGGGATTAGGGACTGAGATCTCAGGCTTGGTATTCCCCTGCCTTCTCTGTGTAATTCTTTGATATTAACAACCTTCTCTTAACTCTGCTCAATATTCGGTAATAACTTAAATGGTTATTACCCTAAATGGGAAAAGAATTTGAAAATGAATAGGGTATATATATATATATAT